GCTCTCTGTCTCTCATTCTCTCTGTCTCAAATAAATAAATAAAATCTTTAAAAAAAAAAAAAAAGAAAAAGGTCACAGCCAGACCAGGATTCAAAGAAAAAACAGTCTAGGCTTACTAAGCATAAGGACAAGCAGCTTTTATACCTCAAAAGTACAGTCTTTGATGCGTTGCACCATCGAGAAAATGCTAAGCGTTCAGGGACATAAGCCTTGGGAAGGATAGAAAATGAGCAAGCCTCATCCAAGACCTTTGTCCATCAAAGGTGGGAAAAATATAAGCAGTTTTGGCAATTGCAACAAATAAACTCACCCAATGGGTGAGGTTTGGTTATCTGAGAAGTCCAGCTACTGGGGTCATCTCATTCCTCCCATAGGGAAGAAATCATAGCTCCCTATGATGTCCTCCTGCTCTTGGGATGAAACCCCAGAGAGTGACCATGATTTCCTAGGCCACCGGATGTGGCTTTGTCAGCCCCTCCCACCTCACTTCATTGCACCCTCCTGACCCTTTGTTCTCCAGCACCTTCTATTTCCTGAAGGTGCCATGAGCCTTCCTCCATAGGGCTTTGCACACGCTGTTCCCTCTATCTAGAAGGATCTTCCCCCCAACCTTCTTCCTCTCCCACTCCAGATCCCAGTTCAAATGCCACTCCTTGGAAAGCCTGCTTACACCGCCACCCCCGCCCCAGCCCATGCAGACCTGGCTCCTTTGGTGTCCACGCTTCCATCTGAACTCCTTTGCCCAGAACACCTGCTTGAACATATATATTCATCAGTGAGACTATCTGATTTATCCATTTGTAAACTCCAAGAAGCAGGGATTGTGTTTGGCCTGCTTCATCCACCTTTGCATCCCCAGTAGCAGGCTGATGCTTAATAAATGCTAAATGAAAGAATGAGTGAATTCCGGTTTGTTTCTAAGATGTTTGGTGTGACAAGTGTCCTCCAACTCCTAACATGTTCACATCTTTTTTTATAAAGCCTCTTTAGTCTCTGGAATGACTCATCCCTTTAACCATCATGCCAAAGTTCTTACCGTCCATAACTTTTCACCATGAAATCTCCAGCCTAAAAATTCCATCCACGGCTCCCTTATTTGCTCCACTTACTACCTTCGCCCCCAAAGCTTCCTGTTTCCTTTAAACAGTTGGCTCTCGTGCTGGCAAGCTGAACAGCATCTGTGCTGCTTTCCTTAACGATGCGTTTTCTGGATTCTTCCTCCCACTGTTTCCTTCACTTGATTTCACTGGTAGCCTCTGAACTCCTCATTTGCTGTCTGCCAGGAGAGGTGTGTTGTCTTTTGCGATTTTTAGTTTATTCTCCACCCGGACTTTTTCTGTGATCTCTTCCATAGACTTCCTCTGAATTTCCAATCTGCCTAGTTTTTATTCTTGTCCTTCAAAGTTTTAAAAAGTGGGGAAAATGAAACTTACAATTATCCCCAATTCTTCTTACTCCCTCCCTTCGAAATGTAAAACAACATTACAAAAGAAAGGTCTCAGATAATCATTTCCAAAGCCTTCAGGGGGATTCCCATCTTCCCATTTTTTGTCTCATTCCAGTTCCCCGCCCCCCCGCCGAAGAAATCAGGGGCAAAAATAAATAAACAAAAAAACTTCCATTAGTCCTAACCGCCTCCTCCCTAAACCCAATCAACTTTAGGCTTCATTCTCTTTTTCAGAATGAGCTACCTTCACTGGTTAACTGATTTTCTCTTTTTCATAAAGCTTATTTAGTACCAAATTCTTAATATAAATTACAGTTGTCTTTAGCAAGTATTTACTGAGCATCTCCTATGTGCCTGGCACTGTGCTAAGGAAACAGCAATGAATAAAATGGGGGAAAAGATCCCTATCTTCATGGAGATTACATTTTACAAGGAGAAGTATAATAAACATGAGCATAAAATACTTTTACATAGTGATAAGCTCAACAAATAACATTACATGATCATGGATACATACAATGACGAAAAGTCTAAAGTTGTAGCTCCCAACCCACAGGAATGTTGTGACAGTTAAGTGAGCTAATACATGTATAACGTATAGAGGAGGATTCATTACTCCATGGCAATTGTGGCTTTGTTTTCCAGCACAGACTCCTGTCGTAAATGTATTTAAAATTATTGTTGTTGTTGTTATTGTTATTGGATGAAAGGAAAGATTATCTGCTCATTCACTCAAGAGACATTTATGGGGTGTCTACTTGTGGGCAAAGTACTCATATGTTTGTGAAGTGGTACAGTGGAGAAGAGAAAATCGGCCCCATTCTGACTTCAAAAGTAGGACTGAAATAATGAGCCAACTCTACTGTGGCCCCTGTCAGGGGAAGGCCAACCGGGCCAGAGGGTGAGCTGGCCCACCACCCTCCAGACCACTCTTGGTGACTCACCTGCTGCCTAGTCAACTTCCCGTGGCACTCGACGGCAGAGCCCCCGGTATGCTTTTGCCATGATATTTAGAGGTGTATAGTAAGGCTAGGAAAGCCAATAACTCAGATCCAGAGATTCAGAGCTGGAAGGAACTTCACACGTCACACGTCTATTTCACAGATGAGGAGTGTATATCCACACACATATATACACATGTGCACACACACATACTCAAATATCCAGTTCTTTTAATACCAAACAAGCTTCTTCTTCTTTTCTATTGTGACTGGAATAACCTACAATTAGAGAATCAATGTTTCAATTCAATTCAACCAACGTTTTGTGCTGTTCGGTTATGTGCAAAATAGCATGCAAAGTATCACAGGAAGCATAAAAATGAACAAGATCTTGTTCCAGGTTTCAAGGAGCTTGCTGTGTAACACAGGAGATATAAATTCAAAGTGAGCATGGCTGGTGCCACAATAAAGGCACAAAGTCTCATGGGAACGCCCCAAAAGAAATGACCTCCCGCTTGACTGGTCCTGATTGGAACTAGTGCGCAGGCAGAGATGGGAGGAAAGGGCACCCGGAATGCGGGAATCGGGAGCTAACCCACAGAGGCCTTGGAGCATAGGGCTCCTTCAGGAAAGGGCTGTGACTTTAGGGGTGCTGCAGTGTAAGGCTCACAAGGCTGGAGAGGGCTGCTGGTGGGAAGAGAGAATGAAGCACCTTCATGAGGGCCCCCCCACCCCCCAGCCCGCCCAGGGCACACTGTAGGGCTTGGGACTTGATTCCTTCCCCAGTTTTGAGCAGAGGAGTAACTTCATCAGAGCTGTGTTTTCTGACTAAACTCACAGGAGGGAAGAGCGGCAGGCTGGCGGTTGGTTGAAAGATGACAGCTCATTCGGTTATTCACGTGTTACCTGCGATAATAATAGTTAACGTTGATTGAAGGTGCTAAGAGCTTTGCATACATTAGCTTACTTAATTGTCGTAACATTCCCGAGGGCTAGGAGCTTTTATTATTTTGATTTTACAGATCAGGAAACTGAAGCTTAGGGAAGTTAATGTGCTAGAAAGAGGCAGATTGGAGAACCAACCAAGCGGGTTCTTTTTCTAAATCCACCCTCTTAATGGCGGGGCTATATTGCCCTGGCTTGCTAACTTTAGTTGGCAATGATTTTGTTGAGGAGTACCCAGGGGAGAGGTGAAAATAATTTTTAGACACCTTTTATGACTGGTATCAAAAAAGCATGACAAGAAGACAAGAGCTGAGCTTCACTACGCTTATCACCAGCCCCGTATTGTGGATGACATCTAACCCCTAAGGGGCTCCTTCTGCCAGTTTTCTGGCCCAATTCCTCACCTTCAGCTTGTATGTGCTGAAATCATAAATATAATTTTATATTTAAGAAAATTAAGAATCAGGAAGTTAAGACTATTATAAAATAATTCATATAATACTTTTTGAAACCCGTGGGGTGACTGTTTTATGTTAATCATCTGCCATTATACATGAGTATTGGCATTAATTGACCTTACTGCTTTTGATAAATATAAAAGATCAAAGGCTGATTTTTACAATTTAGGTGCAAAAGTCCACCATGGTGGTTTCCCATCGTATCTCCCGAAATGCCTCAGACCCAGCATCAACCCAACTGTGCTAACCCTTCTCCTCACTTATGTCCTCGTGACAACATCCAGGAAGGGACACATCATTCCCTTTAGGACACAACATCCTAGGGCACTAAGACCCCAGCCAGTATTTCTGTTCCAACACAATTCCAGAACATTAAAACCGTTATTCCAGATGATGCTTTAAACACCATCTATGATTTTAAACAGATGTTTTCCACCAGGGAAGGGTGCATCAGATAAAAGCAGGGCATTCTGTGGAATTTGGTCACTGTGAGGTCTGCAGCAGCACAAAGGGTTAATTGGAATGAATCCATTGGGCCATAGATCTTTGAGCTTAGATGACGTGCAAGGTCCCCATTCTCCCATTTAATTTCTCAGTTATTATCCTCCTGGCTGTACATGCTAGGGAGGTGGCCCCGAGCTCAAATGTAGGGAAGCCAGAGCTGTATGGAGGGGAGCCCTACTCGCTGGCCCCCCAGAACCTGATTTCTGTACACTTCTCTTCTATGACCCCTTTTTGTCCCCATGGCAGCCCTGACTCTTTATGAAGACTTGAGAACAGGGACAGGGTCTTGCATCTTTCTCCCAGTGGGACTACTGATGGGCTTATGGTGAGCTTACACAAATATTTGTTAGATGAATAAGTACATAAATGAATGAATGATTGAATGACATCAGAAAACACGTCATTCCAAGGACATTAGTCCTGAAGCCCCAACATTTCAGAATGAAGACGAAACTCTTATTTGCTTTTTAATTGCATAAAGGACAACTTCCTGGAAAGTTTAAAAAATGTTAGGCAATACCGTCTAATAAAATATGCACCCTATCCTGGTAGGTCTTCTACCACCTAGGATACCTTAGTCAGTAGGTTATGTTCCAGAAAAACATCAAGAGCCCTATTTTGTGATAAGAGTGGTCACATAGGGGGTGGCTACCTTGGAGTGTCAGTACAATGGACTTGGCTTTCAGAAGATTCCTCTTTATTTGGGATTGGAGCCAGAGAAGTGTAGGCATCCAACCTTATGATTAGTGAACTCTGCTTTGCAATGGAGACATGAAAATTTTATCAGCAAGACCCCAGGCATGGAACAATATTATACATTCAAAGTGAGAGGCTCACAAAGACACCAAGGTACACTGTTGTCCCCAGCATTCAGTTCCTCACAATGGCCAACAATTCAGTCCCTTCACCAGCAGGGAAGGACGGCAGGGAACCTCCCCTCACTGGAGTTTCCACGGAGTCTGTGAGAGGAGATTTCTGCCACTAAATGCTCTTCCCCAAGTCAGAGTTTTCCATCCCGGGTATTAAGTGCCTTCTTCATAAATACATGTCAGCCTACATTTTGATGGAAGAGAAAACTCCCATGTTCTCAACATTAAAAAAGGAAATCAGCTTGCACATGCTTTTGGCAAGTTCCTGTAACCTGCTCCCCACTGAACACTTTAGGAGTAGATATTTTTTCACCCTGAATCTGGATGCAGCTGAGCTTGGAGTCCTTGGCCCAACTTGGCCAGCTGAAATGCCTGAGCCAGAGCTGTAGACAGAAGACCTCGGAGCTGCTCTCCCACCATCCTCCAGAGGCCAAGCACCATCATTCTTCCCCAGGCTGCCTCTCTCACATGCCCCGCTCTCAGGGATCTTTAGATACTTTCTGTCATGTGCACTGAGGTCAGGCTCTACCATGGCTCCGCAGAGTGCAGAGAACACCCGTAGGCACAGTAGAACTTCGCTCCGAGAAACAAAGACGCCATGTTAGGCTTCAAAGTCTTCCTGTCTCAGGATATCCTTACAAATTCTCTGAATGAAAGTCTGGACTTCACTCATGAACAACCTTTCACCTGGAAGGTCTTGGGCTGCAGGTCATTAGATGAGGCTAGTTTTAGCATGTTTGGGGAGACTGGTGTGGGGGCAGCAGGGGCAGGGAAAGAAGGTGGACACAAGTCAATTGCCAAATCTCCCTGTTCTCCACCCCTCCCTCTTTCTTGCTTCTGAACAGGTGGAAAGTATTCTGGAATACCAACCCCTCACTACTTCCTGCCCACCTCCCTCACCAACCCCCCCATTTCCTTTGTTGTGCTCCTTCATCTGTGTCCAACCTCCCCTCTTTTCCTCTCTTCCACTCCAACATCTCCGGACTCTGGCTTTCTCCCTTGCCCTTTCCTCTGCCCCTCTTTCCTTTGCTCACCCCCCTCCTTCTACCCATCCTCACCATATAGGGACACTTCAGTGTTTGCCCTCCTTTTCTGTGTCTCTCTCCCCTCCCTCTGAAGCTCTGTCCATTCTCTGAGTTTCGCTGATGTCCTGGATGCTTCACAATCACCTATCAAGCCAGGATCTCCATTCTGGTGTCCTGAAGCCTGGCTCTCCCCTTCCAGCACCAGGGCTGTGTCTGCCACCGCCGCCCGGGCATGCAAGATCTCATCTTCTTAAACTCAGTGGAGAGCAAGCCTCCTTTTCCCTGCTCTCAGAAACTCTTTCTCCCAACTTCCTTTCACCGTTAATGGTGCCACTGATCTCCCAACCTTCCAAGTTCAAAATTTGAAGTTACCTTGATTGACACTTCAGCCAGTCATCGAGTTTTACTGATTTTTCTTTAAATATCCCCCTCCTATGTATTCCTCCCACTCTGTTCTCCTTGCTGCTGCCTTAGCTCTGGCTCTCATGACCTCAACCTTGATTATCTCTGTAACTACTTTGCTGCTCCCACTTCTCTCCCCACAGCCCAAGGGCTGGATTGACAGCAGAAGGGCATTATTGCTCTGGCAACCTGGGTTGGGGGTAGGGAGGGTGTGAGCACGGTCAGCGCTGATGTATGGACCAGCTGTGGTCTCCCCTCACCATGCTGCCCCTCTGTTGACCCACCAGCAGGGAGAAGAGACCCCAGACCCAGGGCTGGGGGTAATAGCCATAATTTGATCTTCAGTTATTCTGCAAATACATACTGAGTCCCTGCAATACCCAAGCCTGTCTTGGGAACTGAGATACAATAATGAACAAAACACAGTGTCCCTGCCTCATGGAGATTATTCAGTCACAGGAGAGATAGAAAGTAAATAAACATGGAATGTGACAAGAAGAGGTAAATTGTAGGACTTAAGTATCAAGAATAGAGCCAAGGAGGGGCATCTGGCTGGCTCAGTCGGTTAAGTGTCTGCCTTCGGCTCAGGTCATGATTTCAGGGTCCTGGGATTGAGCCCCGCATCGAGCTCCTTGCTAAGTGGGGAGCCTGTTTCTCCCTCTCCCTCTGTACCTCCCCCAACTCATGCTCTCTCTCTCAAATAAATAAATAAAACCTTTAAAAAAAAAGAAGAATAGAGCCAAATAAAGGAAATAAAAATTGAACGGGACAAAGCGCCAACAAACACATGAAAAAATACTCAGTGTCATCAGGGAAATGCAAATCAAAACCACAACCAACGACATAGCACTTCACACCCACCAAAGCGGCTATAATAAAATATACAATGTTGGCGAGGATGTGAGGACACTGCAGCCTTCATCCATAGTGGTGGGAAGGTGAAATGGTGCAGCTGCTATGGAACACGGTTTGGCAGCTCCTCACAAAGTAACATAGAGTTACCATGTGACCTAGCAATTCCACTCCTACATACTCACCCAACATACTCCTACATACTCCTACATACTCACCCAAAAAAATTGAAAACATGTGTTCAAACAAAACCTTGCCCATGCATGTCACAGCAGCACTGTTCACAGTAGTTGAAACTCAAAATGTCCATCCATCAAATGTTGAATGGTGAGCAAAATGTGACATATGCAGACAGTGGAATACCACTCCGCCATAAAAAGGCATGAAGTGCTGATTCATGCTACGTTATGGATGAACCTTGAAAACATTATGCTAAGAGGAAGAAGCCAGATCCAAAAGGCCATATTGTACAATTCTGTCTATATGAAATGTCCAGAATAGGCAGATCCAGAGACAGAAAGCAGATCAGTGGTTTGGTGGTCAGGGCCTGCGGTCTGGGGGAATTGGGACTGGATATAGGATTTAAAGCATATAGGATATCCCTTTGTGATGACAGCCACGTTATCTGGAACTAGATGGTGGTGATGGTTGCCCGGCGTCATGAAGGTACTAAATATCACTAATTGTACACTTTGAAAATGGTTAAAAAGGTAGATTTTATGTTATGTCTCTTTTGCCACAACAAGAAGCAAATAGGGGTGGTCACAGGCTGCTCCTTGAACAGGAGAGTCAAGGAGACCTCTCAGATGAGGGAGAAGCCTCTCTGAGAGCTGAGGCAGGAGGGTTTGAGCCTTGCAAGTTACCGGGAAAGGCAGGGAGCTGCAAAGCCTGCGGTCAGCTCTGAGCGGTATTCCTCGTGATCCGACCCCCTTCCTCGTTTCATTCCTCAGGCCAACAGCACAAGGCTCCTTCTGTGCCCAGCACCTCTGCCTCTCCCGACCTAGCATGGCCCTGAGCCTCCCATCCCCGCCAGCACTGCTGCGTGGGCCCCCAGCCACACCGACCCTCCCTCCTGCCCCCCACCCCCTCGCCCACGGAACTGCTCCTTCCGGGCACTTGGAGGCTGGACAACCGTTTGTGGCCCAGCCACGGACCACTTCTCCTTGCATACATTTTCTGACACCTGCCAGAGCCTGAGCACCCACGTGACTGAGCCTTTGTGCATCTAGTCTACTGCTTATCAGCCGCATGAGGCGGGGCATCAGCACCTCTCTAGGCTTCAGTTTCCTGCCCTGTAACATGAGGCTGTCGAGAGACTGGTGAAGCAAGATGAGTGCAAAGTGCTGAGCTTACTACCTGGTGCGTCGTGAGTTCTCGGGAATGGCAGCCGTGTCATTACTTCGATGTTTCCCATAATCTGAAGTTTGAAATTTAGCACTGTATCTGCTAATTATTTACTGTACGGAGGAGTCAAAATATACGATAAACATGGTAATGGTATTTACCTTCCCCCAACCCTGGTAACTATTGCAATACAGAGCATATCTATCACACTTGAATAAATGTTTGACTGACCGGGGATTGATTGATTGATTGATTGATTGATTTGGCTCTATCACCAAATAGGAATAGAATTTTCTTCAAATTAAAACATAAAGGGAAACATGATCTAGGACGGAGGGGAAATTAGGAAGGGAGGGAGAGGGAGAGAGGGAGAAAGAGAGAAGATCAGTAAGTAAACACCTGGTCCAGCCAGGGTGGGATATATTGAAATATTTCATAGGCATAAATGTTTGGGAAAAAAATGCATAGTTGAAGAAAGACCCAGAGGGGTGGTGGCAAATTCTTCCGAAAAAATGGCTCACTCTACAAATGAGTTATTTTATTTCAAGATGCCATAGTTACAGGAAATGTTCAAGGAAAATGTTAATACATTTTACAAAAGATGTAAGACAAATCTTTAATGTTCTACCACCGGAGAAAGGCATGAGTGTAAACATATTTAAAAATGAGATAGCAGAGCTACACTTCACAACAATTTAGAAGTGGGAGATAGACAGACAGGGCATGGTGGCACCCAACTACTCAAAGAGAAAGCAGCAAGGGAAGGTGAATCGGTTTAGTTCTATTTGGTAAAAAGATGTGATGCCCAGGTAGGGCTGGGCACCGCTGCGGGGCACGCCGCTCATGCAACCTACCTCCAGACGCTACACCAAGTGAATAAGACCAACCCAACTACTGTTACCTATTTTCATGATCTGCACATGCCCAAAGGTGGTTTGTTGCTCCACCGAGGAAGCACATCTATCCCCAAACCCCCAGCCCTCTCTCTCCGCCAACAGAGAATCACCACTACAGTTTTCTCTGCGCGATTCCCGGGTCACACTTTACTCCCCTTGCAGAGAAACAGACACAAGCCCCGTGCAAGAGTCAAAAGTTAGAAAGCAGCGGGCTCCTTCCAATGCTGACGGACGCAAGGTTCTTCATCAGTTTTTTTCCTCCGAACCAAACAATGAAAAAGAAAAGAAGCTCTTTACCTGACCAGATCCCTGCTTTCTTCCCGAGAGTCTAACATTGAATATTGAGAAAACAACTCGAGAGCATCTTCTTGAGACTTCCTTAAATCCCAAAGCTGTCTCCGATAGCAGCTCTAAGTTGGAGCTGTGAATAGAGGCTGTGTGTTATTTTAACCAGAAGGTTTCTAGTCAGTAGGGAGGAGAGATGGAAATGAGGTAGGTTGGCAAGCAGGAGCGCCATCCACCTCAAGTGAAATGAGCTCGCAGATCTGATGTAAGCGCTCAGCGACAATTTGAAGAACCCTCAAACCCACTTTTCCTAAACTAGAGGTTAAATAACTGTGGAAAATTCCAAAGGAGTAAGATAAGACACTTACGGTCTTTTCTAAAAAAAGACATTTTGGTATGCCCTGTCTGATACTGTCTGAGGGGCAGCCCAGCACAGAGCTGGCCTGAGGAGTCCTGGGCATCCACTGGAGACGGGGACACCTGGAGACAGCTTTGATCCCCCAAAAAGGAGTGTTCTGGGGGTTAAAATGTACAGGATGTCAAAGGAACATAACCGAGTCACGTCTTTTGTGTAGAAACAAAACCGTGACAATCCATGTGAAGTTATAGGGTAAGGGGAGAGCTATTCTGGAATATGTTATTATGAGAGCTTAACATGTGTGAGTGTGTGTGTGTGTGTGTGTGTGTGTGTGAGAGAGAGAGTGTGAGTGCAAACGTGTGTATGTGTTCTCACTTCCCAAACAACTTAAAAAGCAAAGATCCAGCCTCAGCTTAGACCAGTTGGAGATCTTCCTCCTTAGTGTCTTGGCAAATACAAATGCCGCCTTGGACTCAGAGGAGGAGAATGATTTATCGCACACAGATCAACTGCAAAAACTAGAGCTGCCGAAATGGCCAGAGTCCTTTACCGCCAGCCCTTCACAGATGCCAGAGGGGTTTAACTCCACTTTTGGAAAAACTCAGCAGTGCTCCCATTAAGCAGGGTCATAACTCAGTTTTATGTAGACTCTTTCATCTCAAAGGAGCTTGAGGTGGGTTTACCCCAAAATATAAATTATCCTGTGCACAGTCACCTCAGGGATGAGCTCCTGCCTAGCAGCAGCTGGCCTGGACACAGGCAGTCAGTTTGGAGCCGCAGTGAGATGGCAGGCTGGCGGCCAGGAGGCGCTCCACGAGGAAGAACGAGCGGGGCCTGCCTTCCACCTTGGCCCTCTCCTCCCTAGAGCTAAGACCTCTCCGATCTGCACCTCGCTTTCCTTCCTGAGCCCCCCACCACCCCCGCCAGTGCCCTTCCCCAGGACCTGCAGACACAACCTCAAAACAGACCTTAAAATCACAAACCAGGAGTAAATGATGACTGCATTTTCAGATCTGATCCTGTAGAGCTGGGGCTGGCAAAGCATAACCCTTGGGCCAAGTCCAGATGCTTTATAAATAAAGTTTTATTGGTACACAGCCACACTCACTCATCCATGGACTGTCTGTGGCTGTTTTGGTACTACAATGCTTTATCAATAAAGTTTTATGGGTACACAGCCACATTCACTCATCTACGGACCGTCTGTTGCTGTTTGGGTACTACAATGCTTTATAAATAAAGTTTTATGGGTACACAGCCGGACTCACTCATCTATGGACCATCTGTGGCTGTTTTGGTACTACAACAGCAGAGTGGAGTGGATGTGGCAGAGATTGTAGGTAGCATGTTTGTTTTTGAGGTGGAAGAAAGGAACAAGGAGTCTCTTTCAATAACCTCTAAAGATCAGCCTAGGGAAGATATACCTACTCATACCACCAAGCCCAGATTCAGGCCCTGAGTCTCCATTTTAATTTTTCCTTTATTGGAGAAACTCTTTTACTCAAGCATCACCTTGGCACACTGCCCCAGCTTACCTAGCTTCATCCCTGAGAAACCACAGTGGCTGTGTCCAACTCTTCTCTCAAATAGAAGCTTTGGACACACCCTCAGGCCCTCTCCATGTCATCCCCAAATGCCCGTTGTCTTTGAAACCCTCTATGAGCCTCTCCAGAGTTAGCTGCTCCCTCCTACAGGCTCTCATCATGTTTTGTTCATTTTTCTCTTGTATTTCTTATACTTACATGCCAGTGATCTCGATGCTTGCCTTTCTTACCACATTGTGCATTTTTGGAGAGTAAGAATGATATCTTATTCAACTTTTTATTCCCAGAACCTAATGCCATAAAAGACACATCAGTGGACACTCCATTAGTGGTTACTACAAAAATAACTCAGGCAGTCTTACTCCACTGGAACCTAATCTCAAAGGAAATGAATGAAAAGTTGTCTGATACTCCCTGAAAATGAGATGTTCCTGAGATAGCTTTCCCAGGGATGACCCTGGCTCTGTCCTTCTAACACTTGCCCCTCAGTGGGGCTGACTCTTACACCTTCTTTGTTAGTTGTTCCTTTAATTTTGAAATTATGGAAGAAGAGTCTCCTTGCAGAAATATCAACAGCAGTTAGAAAAAGACAGTCTTCGTAACAACTAGAGCTGTTAGAAGACCTGGAAGGATCTGGCACTGGGTGGAAAAGAGGCAGTGTATTCTCTAAGCTCCTTTCTCGTGATAAGATTTGGTAAAGCCTAGTTTCCCTGGTGTGACCCCATCAGAAGACAGAGCCAGCACATGGCCAAGGATGCAGATTTGCCCCCAGCCGATCTGGGGCACAAAAGGAACCAGCCTTCTTGCGTGGCAGGAGCCCTGACATGGTACTATCTCAGCAGCTGTGCCACCAACCCTCTTACTTGTATCCTTTTTCATGGTCAAAAGGGTGGCAAGAGCTGATAACATTGTGTAGGAAACACAAGTTGGTGATGTGGATGTAGTGGACATTTATCCCATGTGTGGCCACTCAACGTCTTGTGAACACTCTTCCTTTGGTGAACTTGGATTTCCCGCATTGAGTCCTTGTCTCAGTCTGCTCGGGCTGCCATAACAAAAGACCATGGACCAGGTGGCTTCCACAACAGAAACGCATTCTCTCATGGTTCTGGAGGCTAAAATTCTGAGATCAGAGTGCCAGCACAATCAGGTGTGGCGAGAGCTCAATTTCTGGCTGGCAGACTGCCTGGCCACCTTCTCCAGTGGCCTTTCCTTGGTGTATGTATGGGGACATCTCTTTCTCTCTCCTTTCCTCTTCCTGTAAGGCCACCGATCCTATCAGATTGGGACCCCACTCTCATGGCTTCATTTAAACTTAAGTACCCCCTAAAAGCCCAGTCTTCAAAAACAGGTTGGGGGTTAGGGCTTCACCAAAGGAATTTTTTGCAGGGGGGAGGGGAACAAAATTCATTCCATGGTAGTCCCCTTTCCTCAAAGTAGAAGCCAGACTTTCTCTTCCAGCCTCCTTTGCAGCTGGGGTGCAGGTGTATGTCACAGGCTGGGCATTTAGCTGCCTTCAACTTAGTAAAGACCAGGAGGAGGCAGGAAAAGGGTTGAATCCACTCTACAGGAGGTCAGTGCCAGTTGGCTGGAGTCATCAGCTCTTAGAGGCAGTCCCGAGGAGGGCCAGTCATGGGATCTGGTACAGACTGTTGGGTGAACCCAGGGACCCGGCCCTGCGTCCACAACAACAGCTCCTCCTCCCCGCGGCGAAACTTGTACTGTGCTCCCTCTTGCTCCCGCAGCTTCCACGCCTGACACTGGGCTCCTAGAGATTCTGTGACCTCCTAATAGTCTTCAATACGTCATTTTTTGGCTCACAGTAGCTAGAGGTACCATTTGCAACTAACAACGCACTTGTGTATGGCTGACCTGGGTGCTTAAAACCAAACCATTTAGTTCCCTTTTGCTTTCTCATCCAGCACTTCCACAGGATAGTGAATATTTGGCAATGTGATTTTGTACTTATTCTTTGCTTGTTTGCCCTGGGGCTCATTCCTCATCTTTTCCCAACTTCACTTGGTATCACAGTGGTGGGAGTGGGGGTGCTCACCCCTGCAAGTTGTGTGTCCCAGACTCTCGAGACACTTGGTTTCCAGCTGGGTTCAGCCAAGGAGGAGCATTGTGGGGAGACTGGAAGGCTGGAGGGAGGAGAAGCCAGGGTATTTCTCCCCGTCTCTCTGTGCCTTGGATAGCATCTCCAGCAGGGCTGCGTATCCTCCTCCATGACTTTGGCACTATTGGACCAGGCCCCCTGGGCCCAACTTCTACCAGATGATTCTGGCTCTGTCCTTCAGCCTAGGGATAGAAGTGGCTTCCTGCCTCCACTGATCTCTCAATTGCCTCACCACTCCCATTTGGCTTCTTGGCTTTTCCATTATCTGTGTCACTACCTCGCTATATTAAATGTCCTCTGTTTTAAATGCTTAGAGTAGTTCTCATTTTCCTGGTTGGACCCCAATTGATACAGCTATCTATACCATCTCTGCTTGAGGTCAAAGAACCAACACCTGCCCGGGGCTTGAGTGGGACACTGCCATGCAGCACGTTCATTCTGTCAGATGGACTTCCTCTTAGCGCTTTGGACAGGATCATGTCTCCAAAGTTGAGTCACGAGGCAAGTGCCATCAGGCTATCTACAGAATTCTTCTGGCCTTTTCAGAGAACAAGAAACAACATTCAAACAGACTTGTTGATAGAAAAAGTCATGATTAGAAACAGCAGCTAATTCCTTGACTCACTGACCAGAAGATCCCATGAGGATAAAGCAAGATAAAGCAGAATGGGTCAGCAAAGGCTGATAAATACTCAGTGTGTGGGGAATTTAGAAAACTCTGCCTGGCTTTTAGAAAAAAAAAATTATAAACACTTTTTCCTTTAATTTACAAGGGGAAAGAAGACTACATACACAAGGTATTTGTGATGTTACTATTTATTAAAATAAACCTAAATGTCCAACAGTAATAAAATTAAGATTTTCATCATGAGATGCTTTACTCCATGTGCTAGTTTACAACCAGTAGCAAAAATAATTATGAAGGTGACATAGCAACTTGAGAACTGTTCAAGGCAGTATTCAATAAGAACTCACAGAGCCACATCATGTAGCTTCTCTGTGATTACAGACATTTGAAAATCATGACTGTGTATAAACAAACTAGAAGTGGTGTGGGGAAGGGTGAGTTGATAGGTTAGGGTGACACCAGAGAGGTGGATTATTTGTTCCATAATTGCCCTTTTTAAAAAAAATAAGGATATTTGTACAACAATAAATATTCTTCTCTTCCCTTTTCCTTTTCTCCCTTTTTCATTCCTTTCCTATTTACAGTCAGTCC